TCTAAGTGCCATTTGAAATTTTCTTCTAAAATGATCATTTTTATCAAGCTTGTATATTTAAGTTCAGTGATTTCACTTAAATGGCAATGATAATTACATATTAATTGTTATTTAAGTGAAATTACTGAACTTAAATATACAAGTTTGGTAAAAATCATCAATAAAGAAGAAAATTTCAAATGGCATTTAGAGGCTTTTGCATCTGAACTCTTCATATATATATATATATTACCGTAATAATTGTAATTTATAAATAATTATATTTATATATAGGCTATACACACACACACACACGTGTATATAATTAGGTGTAAAATAATTTTACTGCTGTTTAATTAGAAACTAAAGAGGGCAAATCAGATTTCAAAGACGAGACAAAGATCAAATGATGCTTTATCAGTATTTATTGTTACTTTCATATACAAAAAGATAAAATTGAAATAATCCTTTCTAGTGTTTTCCTCTAACAGTCGGGGTGTCGCTGTTTCACACTGGGCAAATTCTACATTCATACTGGTTTATTCTGGCACCAATGCGGAGGAGAAACAGCCACAGCCCGACACTAGATCTACTGCCAGTCTAGATAACCACAGTAAAAAGGAACAATGATTCACTGCAAATTAAAGAACTATGTTACAATGATCGTTCAAGAAAATCCTCCGTTCGGTGCGGCGATACGATGGATGTCGATTCACCAGGGCATTTGATAGAGATTATAAAACTTTGACATACTCTTCAGTCCAAGAGGGATTTACAGCAACAAGCTCCTCTCTCTATACATCTCGTCTTATACAGATCTTTTTAGTATATTTATGTTAAAATCAGTAGTACAAGCCATGTCTGTTCTACAGTTTCAGCTACAATAGTGAGAGATAACCTACAACATGTACAGTTCACATATTCTGGCAAAGAAACAGCATTTCACACATCGGCCTCGACAAACTCCTCATCTCGTGTTCCTGGACTCGATTCAGGGCAAAGTGACAGAAAAATTTTTTTTTTTATCAAATTAAAATCAAATTAAAATATTTATAGCTGACTTTATAATTGAAGATGAAATATTGTTAAAATAGGAACATAAAAAAGTTTAAATAAAACTGACTTTAAAAATAAAAATATGTATTCAAAAAAAATTATAATAATAACAGCTGGTTTCAAATAAAAATAAAATATTTTATTCTAGAAAAAAATACAGTAAAATAAAATCTTTTATTTTACTATATACATTTCTATGAAAAACAAAATATTTCTATAAAAAAACAACATTTAAAAATAAATACAAATATATATATATAATAATATATATATATAATTTGTATTTATTTTTAAATTTTAAATGTATAACTCCAGCTGAATTTGTAAAACATAAATTTAAAAAAATAAAGTAACTAATAAAAACAAAATATTAACAGCTGATTTTGACATGTGATCTTAAACTCCCAAACACTTTCACCTTTACTTTCACCACTTTCACCATTAGTTTTATGTAGTTGCCTGTTTATTACTGTATACTGTTTAACAGATAACTCATTGATCAGTTTAAGTCAAATATAATTCATGTAGTTTGAGTTTTAACTTCTGCAGGAAACATGGAGGGAAGAGCTTGAGGAGTTTGTCAAGGGTTTGTTTCATCATCATCATCATCGTCACACCAGTACAAAAGAGGTTTGTGATTCGCGTTTCGTTCGTGTCACGAATATCCAGCTAAGCAACACTGATTCACATGAGTTCTGAGGTATCGGCTTCCTGAAAACCTGGACCAAAGATTTGCATCCAGAGTTACAGCTGGTCACTTTTAGAGTTTCATATTAGATATATCTATATAGATTTTTTTTCCATATATATTTTCTATAGCTTTTTCTGCAAGGTAGAACAGAAAGTGGGAGAGAGAGAAAGGAAGAGAGAGAGAGAGGAGAGAGAGACATGATGAACACACGGCAGCGGTCGCTTCAGTAATCGTCAGAAAACACAGGCACATGAGAGTCGCTCCTGAAATCACGTATGAAACACGTCAAGCCGTCTTTACGCTCACAAACCAGCGGGAGACTCAGCACCGAAACTCGGCCGCATCCGCACCGAAAACTCGGCGGCATCCGCACCGAAACTCGGCGGCATCCGCACCGAAACTCGGCCGCATCCGCACCGAAACTCGGCGGCATCAGCACCGAAACTCGGCCGCATCCGCACCGAAACTCGGCCGCATCCGCACCGAAACTCGGCCGCATCAGCACCGAAACTCGGCCGCATCCGCACCGAAACTCGGCCGCATCCGCACCAAAACTCGGCGGCATCAGCACCGAAACTCGGCCGCATCTGTACCGAAACTCGGCCGCATCCGCACCGAAACTCGGCGGCATCAGCACCGAAACTCGGCCGCATCCGCACCGAAACTTGGCCGCATCTGTACCGAAACTCGGCCGCATCCGCACCGAAACTCGGCGGCATCAGCACCGAAACTCGGCCGCAACTCAACCAAACCTTTCCAGGGAAACCCTCCAAACACACGGTCCATTTAAGAGGGAATCTCACAAATTGTACACAAAACAACCAAAAAAATAAATCACATCCATCATATATATATAATACTAGAATATAATATGTGCATATTATAATAATATATATATAGCCTATAAATTAGGGCTGTCGATTTAATGCGAAATGTGATGTTGATTTTATATCAACTGTTGTTTTACACGCAATATTGTCTGTCTTTGCTCATTTTTTCCCAATAGAAATATTACCTATTAGGCCAGAGTAGAACTGTTGATCAGGAGAACCAATGATTCAATGACTCGTTCATAAAGAGAGTCATTTACTTCATTCCTGAGTGAATCAGCCGTGTGAACGAATCAAATGAATCACAGCCTCACTTATTTAGACGCTTATCCGCCACACACGGGCAGTTTTAGTTTCTTATTTAGAGTATCATTTACTTAAAAAAAAAAAAAAAAAAAAAAAAAATCATATTTTGGGGATAGTTTGCCCAAAATGTAACTTATGTTTATTAACATTTACTGTCGTTTAAAAATCTCTCTTTCTTTTGCAGAACACTGATGGTCACAAAACTGTTTTATTCTGTAAATATATCCAGATGCAGCATACTGACAGCCCCAATACACAAAAACACACACTTTATTATTTACTGTGAAAAATTAAATATATTTATCAAGTAAATAATTCTGCATCATAGTCTTAAAGGCACACTATGTAATTTTCCGCCACTAGAGGTCGTTTATTCAAAACAAAGGCGGTGGAGAATACGAATCATATTCATGGACGATCGCTAAAGTATGAAAGGTTTATTAACGTTACGAAGACCGTTAGCGTTTGCTAATGAGAGACGAGCACGACACCCGACTCGAGAGCGGTGGAGCTTTTAATATGTGGAACACAGCGCCGTTTTATCATATTAGTTATGAAAGTCGTTACAATGCTACTCTATGCGTTCGCTCGGCGACTAGGCTACTATACGAGACTTTACTGTTGTCTTAAATATTGGTCGACCGGAAGGGGAGGGGCTTAGGCTCTCTATTGGACATTTTCTGGTGTTTCAATGGTTTCTACAAATTAAAACCGGATATCGATGGTAACGCGGACATGATGTCCCTGGATTTAAACATTCGAGATACTGCAAGTACACAAGCCGAAAAAATGTATAACATTGTTCTAGTGGTTTTGGGATATTTTGAAGACCCAAAATCATACATGGTGTGCCTTTAATTTTCCTAAAAATAGGCTTCTAAAATAGACAAAATAAAATACACAAGTATTTCGAGGCTGAAGATCGGGTGTAATTGGCACGGCCGCGGAGGAGAGAAACACCGTCTTCAGTGCATAATGAAGCGTTGAAGTGTATTGCATAAATCACAACAATCACCCACAATATGATGCATTCATAAAACAAACCATAACGCTCGAACACAGGCTGGCAACAGAACGTCAACATTCACAGATAATCAAACCTGGCTTTTCTAAGCTACAAAGACACTTGTAATCACAATCAACAAATGTTCAAATGAATCAAAGCCTTTGGTTATCCTCTCGCCGGAGGAATTTGGCTACATATCGTGTGTTATTCCCAACAAAACGAGGTCAGTTGATTGAAGCGCCACGAAGGCCTACGATGTGATCGAACAGCATTCATCATGATTTTGGTAGTTCGCCTGATGTGGATATATCAATGCCCAAAAGTTCAGTCTGCACAGACTATTGCTGGAGATATTGCTTGCTACATCGTCTGAGCCAGTTGGAAACTCACAACCATCCGAACTTTCCCGGTTAACCTGAAGAAAATGATGCAGTTTCCTGAAAGTATCGATGTCTGAGATGGACAGCTAAATCCACTGGGAAACGCGCTACTTTGGCACTTTCGGACTCGTAACGTGCCAGAAATTGGCAAGAGCTTGGAAAAAAATGGGCGTCGCCAACCAGAACGCAGTATGACATCACTCACAACACAGTAGGACGAAACACGCCAGGCCGTGAGCGCAAAAGACGGGTCTCCTGTTATTAAACATTATATATATATGCCACTATAAAATATAACTTAAAGCTGGGCTTGAGAGGAAGTCGAAGCAACCGCTGCAGTGCATCATGGGAGCAGAAATGGCACAGACGGTCGGGACACCAAACCTTTATTTGGCCCTGAAATAAAAGCTCAATCGTTAATTTGGCCGAGATCATTTGGTAAGCACAGGGTTCACAGTCAATCCTCAAGGTAACAAGTTCAATTTGGTCCCTCGCGAGTGACGAGGGGTGCGTAAAAAATTGTGCAAGTAAAAACGGGGCAAGTTTTTTGGGAGAAGCGCCAAAAGTTATAAGGTTCAATGTCCCGCGAAGTAAGAGAAAGGAAGAATAATGCCCTGTTTGACTGATCGGCACGATTCTACACCTGTATACAGCTATTTACATCATGGGTTCTCTCATTTACACAACACAACTTGGTAGCACTTCTTTAAAGATTTGACTTTTTTTTTTGTATTTTTGTGTATTTTTTTGTTTTGTTTTTACTTCTCCAAAACCTCTTCCCTAATCATAAAAGTCAACTTACATCAAAATATACTTACTACAAGTCAACACAACTAACAAAATATATATAACAGAAGTCAAACACGTAGAAAATCTGAGGTATTTCTGGTCTGAGGTGGTCTGTGGTTTATGAACAATATCTTTAATGCTTTTTTTTTTTTTTTTGTCCTTTCATAACTAATTTTTTATTGTTTCGAGTTGCGCTCTTTCGTCTCGGAAGCCTTTTGAATGTCTGGTGACGCGCGGTTGCATCTGAGGATGAACTTTACTGAGAAGATACGGGACATTTCTTTCATCCGAGCAGCAGCACTGTGGAAATTCACTCTTGAATTATGGCATATGGAAATGTGGATCACCGTCTGCCACTTTTAAGACAAGATAAATATCATTCTAGTGTTTTTTTTTTCATCTTTTCTTTACTAATTAGTCAAACGATCTCAAATTTGCAGAATGAAAGTCTGAATGTCCGGAGGTCAGATCTCAGATTTGGTCCCTGTTAGAAAGAGGTAATGCAAGGGACCCGACACATGAAACTAAACACTTCCTGCGTGAAGCGCACAAAACCGGCTCATATTTCACACTCAAGTCAAAGAAAAAAAAATTAATCATATTTTGCTTTACCCTATATATATATTTTTGACTATAAAGCACATTTTCTTTTACTATTTCAATGTATAGATAATTGCAATATTCGTGTTTTTATTAAAACAATCATACATTTTTATATTACAGTAATAAGAATCAACTTAGAAACAACATTGAAAACAATGCAAAATCCTGATGCATTACAGTCAAGATAATTTGGTATAAAACATGTTTTTATACATGATTTTATTATTTTTTGGACTGCCTGGACGAATTATTATATTACAGATTTTAATTAGAAAATCTGGTCAAGATACAATCAGGCCTACCTGTATTGAGTTAATTCATTAAAACAAGCGTAAATTATTAAAATTACGGTAATAAGAATCTACTTCGAATGATGAGGATTATTATCAAAAAAACTCTAAGCTGGATCTGGATTCTTTACCTTTATGAGAATTTGGAGGAAAACACAGTTTTATACATCAACTTTTCTCAATTAAAATCACTGTATTACAGTAATAAAATCAAAAAAACACCATAAATATAGGTAAATAATCCGGATGCATAATAACGCTCGTGTGAATTTGAGAGAAAATGTGCTTAATTGTCATAAACATGTAAAAAAAAAGGTGTTTTATTTTTTTTCTTTGCGTTTTTGAGGTAAAATGTGACCCAGAATGCCGTGCGAGTCCTTCACTCCAAAACACATTGCATTATTACAAGAGAAACTAGACAGGAGAAACAAACACTTTTTATGGTCTTTTTTTTTTTTTTTTTCTCTTTTTCAACAATCTCTCAGCACACACACACACAAACACACACACACGGTCTTGCATGTTTCGTGTAGGTAATTAGTGTTAACTTGATCAGGGCACTGTTATGCTTCTCTCGGTCCTATAACGCTGTGGGAAAGGCAGTCATGGACCCTTGACACTGGATACCTGAGAAAGATTCCCGTACCAAACTAAACGCTCTCATGACCTCCGACATTTCCACATGCAAGCCAGCGAGAGATTTCACTCATATCCACTCAATAAAATCCCCAACCAACCTTTTCACAGTCACCAACTTCAACAGCATGAAGAAAAAAATTGAAAAAAACAAACGAAAGAAAAAGAAAGAAAGAAAGAAATTAGTCCAGTTGCGTTTTCCGTGTTCTTTAACACCCGTTAGTTCCGTAAAAGACACGTTTTCCGTAATTTCGAATAGCACACTTTCGGAAAGAGAGAGAGAGAGAGAAATAAAAAGGTAGATCCCGCGAGGAGGTTGGATTGCGCGTGTAACAGTCATGATCCTCGCAGGTTTTGCAGCACTGTTGAATGATCCGACACGGCCGAGATGAAGCCGTCGTGTATCGGTTTCTTTTCACAGACGATCCTGTCCGACGGACGGAACAGAACGAGAAAAAAAAAAAGAAAAAAAAAAAAAGAGTAAAACCAAGTGAAATGTTGAGGTACCTGCAACCGGTCAGCATTCATTTGTCGGCACCTGAATGCGCGTCGTATTTTTAAAAATCTTTCGCGTTTTTGCTCTAATGATAAAAATACAGTAGAGAAGTGTGCTGGTAGTTACTGATCCGATCAGAAAAATAATAATAATAATAATAACAATAATAATAAAGTTAAAAAAAGGTTGTGATAAAATAGCAGCTGCTTGAATGTGTTTCGCGTGGAGTTTCAGATGCTGGACTCGTTGGTGACCGAGGTCATGGACAGGAGACAGTCTGAGGTAGAAGAGCTGGAGATCCGGCGGATCTGAGAGAGACGCTCCTCCACACACCCCGCGGAGAGACGAGCCTCGGCGTCATGATCCCAGCACTCCTCGATCGACTCGCACATCTGAGCCAGACCCTGAACACACACACACACACACACAGGGGTGTAAACATCACTGAGAACGCCATCTCTTTTAGGGATGGGCATTCGATTACATTTTCTGTCGGAAGAATTAACGATCGACTATCGATTAATCATTAATATTTTTATATTCAAATTTATTATATTTCACTTTTAATAAATTAAAAATTAGGGCTGTGCAAAAGTTAATTGCGATTAATCGCATCCAAAATAAAAGTCTGTGTTTACATAGTATATTTGTGTGTGCTGTATATAATTATTTTGTATATATAAATACACACACATGCATGTATATATTTAAGAAAATGTGTTATTCCTATATAAAATATTTATATTTATATAATATAGATTATGTATTTATATATATATATACAGAATTTAAGCGCAAATAATTCTTAAATATATACATGCATGCATAGGTATTTATATATACAAAATAATTATATACAGCACACTCAAATATATTATGTAAACACAGACTTTTATTTTGGATGCGATTAATCGCAATTAACTTTTGCACAGCCCTATTAAAAATGCAATGAAAATACAACAATAAAGCGTCGATTAGATCTTTATTACAAGACGATCAACTTGTTAAACTGGGCGTTTGGTTCGGCTAAATTTGAAGATATGCGTGGCGGTGTTTTAACGCAACTGCGAGTTGGCCCTCGTGAGACCCTCTTTGTTCCAAAATTGATAAACCTAAGCATGATTTGCACACACACACACACACACACTCACCGGATGCTTGAGCCAGCAGTCCTTAAACACCGGCCGCATCTTTTTATGCACCACCACATCCTGAAGATCCTCGAGCGACGGATGCTGGCCGATCTCCTCCTCAAACGGCAGCATGTACTCGTCTACAGGACCTGAAGGAGAACACCACACACAGTCAAACACATTCATTTATCACAGTTTAGATAATGGTGATATTATGAGCAGAACTCAGTGGATGTTTGACCCGTGTACTGCACAGCATTTTTTCACCCCTTGTCCCGCACGTCGGATATTGAGGAAATGTCCCACATTTTCATCAGTCTATTGGTTTTTAATTATCATATTAAGAAAACGTGCTTGCGTTCTTTTGCATTTTTATGAAAGCATTTTACTTATTACTTTTGCTGCCTAGTTTTCAGCGCTTCGTCATAAGTACAAATACAACAGCTGTGTTTTATATACTATCCAATGGTTGAAAAGAAAGGTTGTGACGTAGGTTGTAGGTTGTGACGTCACACTCGTAGGTTGTGACGTCACACTCGTAGGTTGTGACGGCTGTCAATCAAAATGCGGACCGGTGATTCGTTTCATATGTTCTCTGTCGGAAAACAAATGGATAATGCTGTAAATTAAAATGTTAATCTACTCGGAATTCATCTGTTGTTGTTTAACCTGCTGTGGTTGTTTTAATTCACATCCTTTCTAAAAATATGAAAGTTTTCTGTCTAAAACAGCTGTTGTTTTATATTTTATTTGTTTATTTTGTTGGACTTGGTCAGAACTGTTTCTAAAATATTTATATACATGATTCTTGCTGCCTTCGGGCTCAGTGATATTGAATTTAAATGACATGTAAAATAAAGGGTTTTTTTTCTGGAAGGGACTAAAGAACAAAACATTTTTATCAGCTGAATAATATAAAAATGATTTATAAAAATGATGCACAATATAAATGTTTTTTATCAAGTTATATAGACATTATATAACAGTTTCAAGGTATGACGGTATGTTTAGTGTTGGTAACATGTCCCACACAAACTTATAATTGTCCCACATTAGGTTTGTTTGATGGTGGTCACCCTATGTTTGACCTTTTGTTGGACTCTCACACATGAATATCTGTTAAATTGAACTACACGATTAGATAATAGCAGTTTAGCTCAACCAGTGACCAAGCAATGCGAATGTTGTTCAGTGTGTGTGTAAAAATATCAGAGAAAACACTTCAGCGAAACATGGTGAGGTCAAAGTTTCCGAATCATTTTTGATCCCAAATTTTTACTGTATGAATAATTTTCGGGTATAATATGTCACGATTTGCTTTAGTTTGCTCTCCTCACTTACATAAATGAACTATAGTGTCCTGCACACACTAGTGAAAAATGATATCTGGTGTCGGAATAGTTTCTGGTTTGACAGCGTGTCTTTAAAGTAGGCGGAGCTTAGAGGCTCAGAACCGACTCTGATTGGTCAGGTGCGATCGATGATGACACTTATTGACAACGAACTTCGTCATCATTTCTCTTATGTTACAGAACATAATTTTATATTCATATTAAGGTATCGCTCACCGTCGGAGGCTTTGCAGCGGGACACCAGCTCCCAGAGCACCAGCCCCATGGCGTACATGTCTATCCTCAGAAACGCGTCCCGCTGGAAGTTGATCGCTCCCTCCAGAACCTCCGGCGCCATGTACCTCCGCGTGCCGACCTGAGGGACACACAAACCATCAGCCTCACAGAAGACCTTATCATGCGCTTTATCATTTTGTTTTTGGAGATTTCATATTCTCATAATATACAGAATCAGCTCTTTTCTCTCAGTCTGTTGTGATTGGTCTACTCTGCTCTGATTGGTCAGATGACTCAGTCTGTTGTGATTGGTCTACTCTGCTCTGATTGGTCAGATGACTCAGTCTGTTGTGATTGGTCTACTCTGCTCTGATTGGTCAGATGACTCAGTCTGTTGTGATTGGTCTACTCTGCTCTGATTGGTCAGATGACCCAGTCTGTTGTGATTGGTCTACTCTGCTCTGATTGGTCAGATGACTCAGTCTGTTGTGATTGGTCTACTGTGTTCTGATTGGTCAGATGACTCAGTCTGTTGTGATTGGTCTACTGTGCTCTGATTGGTCAGATGACTCAGTCTGTTGTGATTGCTCTACTCTGCTCTGATTGGTCAGATGACTCAGTCTGTTGTGATTGGTCTACTGTGTTCTGATTGGTCAGATGACTCAGTCTGTTGTGATTGGTCTACTGTGCTCTGATTGGTCAGATGACTCAGTCTGTTGTGATTGGTCTACTCTGCTCTGATTGGTCAGATGACTCAGTCTGTTGTGATTGGTCTACTGTGTTCTGATTGGTCAGATGACCCAGTCTGTTGTGATTGCTCTACTCTGCTCTGATTGGTCAGATGACTCAGTCTGTTGTGATTGGTCAGATGGCCCAGTCTGTTGACTAACATTATGCAAATTAGCTACAAACATACTTAGAGTCGAACAGGAAGTAAGACTGGAATTAGACGACTCGCTTCAGGCAGTTCAGAATCGAATCTTAGTTCTGGGAGACGATAACTCCACTTATCTTTGAAACTTTGCAGACCTTTAACCTTCACGACCAGCTTTATCTCACACTAAATGAAAGACAATATAACAAAAAAGCATAATAAGAGCTTAACTCCTATAAGTAGAAGCGCCTCACCTGACCGTGTGTGTCTCCCGGTGGTTTACCCGGCTCGAACCGAACCGCTAACCCAAAGTCCCCGATCACAGCGGTGAGATCGGCCTTCAGCATCACATTCTTACTCTTGAAGTCTCTGTGGAAGGTGTTTGCATTATAATGAGCCATTTAAGATACGAATCTTTATTGTGATTGTATGCATACAGAAGAACACATCAACGAAATGGAGTTTGCAGCTCGCAAAAAGAAGCATTAAAACAACTAGTAGAATATAATAACCACAGTATAGTGTTGATCTAAAGTGAGGTAGTGCAAGAAAAACGGTTGAACAAACTGCAACAGACACGAACTGTCAACAATAAAATGACTTAAAATGACTGGACTAAGAGTACTTCAGGGACGCGCATGATTGTCAACACTGTTCATAGTAAATCAGTATATAGATGATTATTTATGAGTTAAACTCACCTGTGTGCAATCGCAGGTTTAGGACCTTCTCCTTTAAACCGCGGGACGTCCTCGTGAAGGTACGCCAGACCGGAGGCCATGGTTTCTGCGATGTGACACAGCTCGTTCCAGCTCAGCGCGCTCCCCTTCAGATAGTCGGTCAGCGAACCCTGACCAGAGCCGAAAACACACCCAAACACTCAACACTTGCACTAATGCGAAAAATATAAAGGGCAATACTGTAACATATTAAAGTAATAATGTTTAAAGGTGCAGTGTGTAGATTTTAGTGACATCTAGGGGTTTGGTTGCGAGTTTGCTTGAAGGAATATATTCTCACTATATCATACAGGCATAAAAGCCTGATATATCAAATATGATAGAAAAAAACAAAACATGCAAACTTTATATGTTTTTTTTGTGTAAAGGTTCAATAAACTGTTCCATTAAAAAATGATTTACTTTGTCAAGCTTTACAGGGTTACGTTTAGGTCAATTAGGCATGCATAAAAGCTTGATTTCTGGTGCGTTTCTACCCTGCATATATTTTTGTTTAAAGTCTCGTGACCTTTGACCCCTCACCCTCTCGTGAAACTCTGTGATGAGCCAGAACTCAGTCTCCAGGTTGCTTCCGCGTTTCTCCGCAGCGATGTAGCGCAGGAGGTTTTCATGTTTCATGCCCGGCGTAGAGAAAATGTCCCACTCGTTCTGCCACGACTGCTTGTCCTGTGCACACAGTGATGTAATGAACATGTAAAAGTAATGTAAAAAAAAAACAACTCTTTACGTAATGACACAGATTTGATGGTGACTGCCGTCAACACTGGTTTCAAGAAACTTTAGCTCTGAAATTATTCACAGCTTCATATTTGCATTAAAAATGCATAAATACTTAAAATGAAATAAAATCATTAAAATAAATAAACACAGCTATCTAGCATCTATACAGTAGAATAAATAGGCAGCATTTAAAGTAAAAGCTAATATGAACCTGAATGGTGAAAATCTTCACATTTACATAATTATAAATAAATAAATACATTCATAATTATACATAAATTAATTCAATAAAAATAAATAAAACCATAAAAAAATTAATAAATGCATTAAAATAAATAAATAAAATGTAAAAAAGTAAATACCAATTAATTTAATAAAATACAAATATAAAAAATGAAAAATTATAAATGATAAAATTCTAATAAATAAATACATTCATTTAAATATAAATAAAAACAAATAAATGTTAAATAAATTCATAAAAAAAATTATTAATTAAAATAAAGAATAAAAACATGCATTCAAACAAAAATAAATACAATCACTAAAATAAAACATAATATTAATTAATTAAATAAATAAAATACATTAATAAATAAATGCTTTTGGTGACACTGTTCAGACTACATATTCATAAATAAATGCATATTAAAAAAATAAATTAATAAATAAATAAACATACATACATACATACATAAAAATAAATCTGTGACTCTCTCAAAGCCAGAAAACAAGTAAATCTGAACCTGAATGGGGAAAATCTTGACGGCCACATATTCGTTCATCATCTGAGCCTTCCACACGCATCCGAAGCGTCCTCTGGCCTTCACCTCCAGCAGCTGAAGAGGCTTCAGGCCCACCAGCGGGGAAGGAGGAGACGGGCCCGGGTCCTGCGGGACACGTTACACAGCATCAACATCTGCACTTAACACATCAAATAACACAGTGGAAAGCACCACTAGGTGGCGGCAGAGAACCGGAAACAACGCCTGACACGGGACACGAACTGAAAGAAGTGTGAGAGACGCGAGAAGCACGGATGGACCGACCTCGTTGATGTCCACGTGTCCGTAGGGAGGCTTGCGGTGCCGGTACATCCAGAAGGCCAGCAGGAGAGCCGTGGAGAGCATGGTGACGGGCAGCAGAGAGTAAACCAGCACGTTCAGCAGCGACGGCGGGGCAGGAGGAGGCTCTATCACTGACACACACACACAAATTAGACTGAACTCTGAGCACACACAGACCAGTCAAAACATCTACAGGTGAAACTCGAAAAATTGGAATATCGTGCATTTATTTCAGTCATTCAACTTAAAAGGAGAAACTAATATATTATATAGACTCACATGCAAAGTGAGATATTTCAAGCCTTTATTTGTTTACAGCTTATGAAAACCCCAAAGTCAAAATTAGAATATTGTGAAAAGGTTTCATAAGCTGTACGCCATAGTCAATAATCAAACCAAAAATAAATTAACTTTTGCACAATATTCAAATTTTTCGATATCCTAATTTTTCAAATTTTTCACCCATGCATGATGACCAAATAAATGTAAAATAATAAATAATTAATAATTAAAATAAATAATTAATAAATAAACAAATAAATAATTAAATAAAAATAAATAAATTATTGAATTCTAAAAATGCATGCATTAAAAACATTAATTAATGTATAAATAAATAAAAATAAATAAATACAAAAATGTTGAAAAAAAATATTTTTAATAAAAAATAAATGCAAAAAATAAATAAACGCATTAAAATAAATATTCATAAATTGCTACATTTTTTAATAGAATTCATAAATATTTATTTTAATCCATGTATTTATTTTTTGCAAAAAAGTACAAATAACAGTAAATGCATGCATTCAAATAAATAAACAAAAAATGGCACAAATAAATAAAAAGTAGGGCTGTGCAAAAATTAATTGCGATTAATCGCATCCAAAATAAAAGTCTGTGTTTACATAATATATTTGTGTGTGCTGTATATAATTATTTTGTATATATAAATACCTATGCATGCATGTATATATTTAATAATTATTTGCGCTTAAATTCTGTATATATAAATAAATACATAATCTATATTATATAAATATAAATATTTTATTTATGAATAACACATTTTCCTAAATATATACAGGCATGTGTGTGTATTTATATATACAAAATAATTATATACAGCACATACAAATATATTATGTAAACACAGACTTTTATTTTGGATGCGATTAATCGCAATTAATTTTTGCACAGCCCTAATAAAAAGTGAAATAAATAAATGCATAATACATAAATAAAAATGAATAATAATTCATTAAAAATAAAAAAATAAAATACAAATTAAATAAATAAATAAATTGTAAAACTAAAATAAATGCATGACAAATAAACAAATAAAGCATTGTGGATGATGATGATGCATATTGAGTGATGTCAGCACTGAGGATGATGCAGCAGGACAGCAGTGACGTCTCTCACCTGGTCCGCTGACGTCGGGCAGGTGTGTGAACCTCTCGTTGCAGAAGTTTCCTTCACAGCAGCAGAAGAACACCTGAGGGTTTTCCTCTGTGGCCACACACTCCTGTCTGCGATGACGAGACACAAACGACACACTCGTGAGACACGTGTGTAAGGTCCTCTCGTCTAGTTCGAGTGGAAGATCTCCGGCGCTAACGAACAGAGCTTTTCACTCTCAAATCCTCCAGACGCATACACACAGTTATTCATCGTCACTACATACATAAATAAATAAAATGAAAAACGACAAATATTTGCCGTTTTTCAATATTTCTCTAGTATGCTTATTGATATTACAATGCAAAATCATTTCTCTTGTGATTTGGGGGTGAATGTGAACTTAAAATATGAATGAAGAGGTTAACCACTCTTTGCCATACAGAAGTGTCGCAGTTCGGCACAAAAACAACATTTAATAAATTGACACGGGTCAGAAAAGCTGAAAAGTCTTTCTGAAAAACAAAACACAGAGTGAGGGAGAGAGTGAGTCCTGTGGGGAAATCAAGCGCTTCATCAGTGTGTGTTCGGGACTCGTGACTGAGGAGAGAGCAGAAAGTGCTGACGGGGCGTTCGCTGTCACTCACAGCACAGGATCACGGTATGAACAACAACACATCTCCATATCTGCTGGATTTACTCAATAACAATCATTAGAACATATTTTTACAGGTTTAGGACCGACTCCTAAAGTCTTTGGTATTCTTCATATTCTGTGTTGGTCAGTTCACAGCAGTGACAGAAATCATCTTTTCCAATAACTTTCAATTGATTTGAGAAGCTTTAATGGGCATTTTTACCTTTATAAAGCCATTTTTTCTAACCTCATTATCATCTCTTGCGTCAAATTATTACATTTAATGAATAAATTTAATTAGAATAATAATACACAATCGGGCTGTTGCCAATCAAATTAAATCAGTTTCAATAAAATTCATCTTTGCAGTGCAGAAATACATTGCATAGAAAAACTACTGAAAATCATAATACCCAATGCCAAAAAAAACAAGCTTTTTAAAACATCAACTTTTTATACAACAACAGCTGAGAGTGACCGAGACTATCCTGCTCCAAATTGGTTAAAAATAAACCAAAACTGTGCTAATTTTTAAATATATTTAATTATTAGTTATATATGATATGTATGTATGTTTATATTAGTATTTTTATTATTATTATTATTATTTTTTTTTTACTGAAGTAGCTAATCATGTAAATTTTATTGTGTATAAAATTGTGTTTTATTGTGTATTTCCCCTACCAGGGAAAATTAGCAACAGCTATAAACTTTATATACAACACTTCAGTGACATGCTTGGTATTGAGACTATGTTTGTTTGCATTGTCCCTGTCAAATAAATAAATAAATAAATTAAAAAAAATTATAGTAAAGATGATTATAAAATGAGTCTCTATAACTTATGTATTATAGAAACAGAGGCTCTGCATTTATGAGCTGAATGTTGCTCACAGCGCCGGATCCCGGTGTGTTTCTTTCTGTCCCACTAAAGAAAGTGAGTCATACAAGTCTGGAACTATTCTAGTAAATAATACATTATAAATAACAAATAATAATAAATTCAAAAAGTCCAACGTGAGCAAACCTCAAAACCCCAGTTTCACTGCCAACTTCAATCCGTTTCTCTAAAATCCCAATTTAGCCTCTGAAATGTGGGGAATCTGAAGCGTTTACCTGGGGCGAATCCCTGCAGATTAGATAACGCAGGATTGTTGCGGGAATCTTTTTTAAGCAGCCGATACAGAGACTGGCCCACTTTCTCAAACGCAATCGCTCAGACTGTTCTGCCAATAAAGTGATGTTGGGGAGAGCCGAGCGACGCGTCCATGACCTTCACAACATGATGAAGCCTCATTCAGACGAACACAAACATTCAGCACATCAGATGTGTGTTTGGAGCAATGCAAAACAGCTTTAAATAACATTAATAGCAGCATCTTATTTCTGTAAGATACTTCAAGGGAACTTGGCTGGGTGAAAATAATTTTTTTTTTTAATAAAAAAATAAATAATTAAAAAAAACATATAAAATAAATAAATATATAAAAATAAAATGCATCATAAAACAAATTAAATTATTCACTCATTACTATTATTATTATTATTATAAATGCATAAATATATAAACAAACAATCAAATAAAATTAATCTAACATTTGTGTTTATAGAGAGGAAAACATAACTAGATTTTTAATTCATTTTTAATTCACAACATCTAAATAATTGAATAATGAATGAATTGAAATGCATGACGACTGCGGTTTCTCGCTATTTCTCCGTTTGCTCTAAAATACCCAAAAATAGTAAAAATATATTAGTCGAGTGGAAAACAACTAGACATTTAATTCACTTGCATTAAAACATTTTAAAAATTAATAATTGTCAAAAAGATTGATTTGCTTAGAAATTACAACTTTTAACTAACTAACTAAATGAATAAATGCAGATATTGATATCATATACTGTATATATTATTCTATTGACAATATTCGCAAAGTTTCTCAATATTTCGCAGTTTGCTCTGAATGACCTTGTGAAATAACAGAGTAAAAATCTATGCAACATCAAACAAAAAAAAATTGTGTGGAAACCATAGTTGGGTTTAAATCCCATTAAACCCAACCATAGTTGGGTTTAATGCAAGTTACTTGCATTAAACATTTTAAATCGAATGAATTATGCGATTATAAAAGGTTTGTCTGAAATAATGACTGGTCAACTCGTGATTTGATGGACGTCAACATCCCTTTGTTTCTATAGAGAATATCATCAATATCCGCCGCGATCTGCTTCTGGAAGTCCTCGCGTTCAGGGACACTGTAAGTAGGTCAGCGGTGAAATTAATTCAGGACAAACGGAGATATGAAACATTAAATGATGAGCCTGAACCTGCGCACAGAGCAGAAGACGTCCTCCACCTCCTCTCAGACGCTCAGCCAGTTCTTCTTAGAAAGAAACAATCGCTCCGTTACGTGATGATGATGATGATGATGATGCAAGACGGCTGCAAAACTTCCTCCGACTCCGTGACCTAATCCAATCTACAGCACAAGCTCTTCAATGCCACGCAAGAGCTGGAAATATTATATGATCTTTCTCAACGGCACAGTAACACAAAACCCTCCAATCACACACACACACACACACACACACACACACATACCTCGAAGGTCAAAACCGAGTCCTCTCCTTTTACAAACTGAGTGAATGCATGACATCTGAAGAATAAAGCTCCTGAAATGAAGATGATGAGCATCTTCGGCTGGTGAAGCCACTGACCGACCCCAAACATGAAGCTGGCTCAGCTTACCCCCATCAGGGACGGACAAAACTACACAAATGAGACCATGAAAATGACTGACCCGTCGTAGCGGTTTGAGTCACATGACTGACCCGTCGTAGCGGTTTGTGTCACATGACTGACCCGTCGAAGCGGTTCGTGTCACATGACTGACTCGTTGTAGCGGTTCGCGTCACATGACTGACTCGTTGTAGCGGTTCGCGTCACATGACTGACTCGTTGTAGCGGTTCGCGTCACATGACTGACTCGTTGTAGCGGTTTGCGTCACATGACTGACCCGTCGTAGCGGTTTGTGTCACATGACTGACCCGTCGAAGCGGTTCGTGTCACATGACTGACTCGTCGAAGCGGTTCGTGTCACATGAATGACTCGTTGTAGCGGTTCGCGTCACATGACTGACTCGTTGTAGCGGTTCGCGTCACATGAATGACTCGTTGTAGCGGTTTGAGTCACATGACTGACCCGTCGAAGCGGTTCGTGTCACATGAATGACTCGTTGTAGCGGTTTGAGTCACATGACTGACCCGTCGAAGCGGTTCGTGTCACATGACTGACTCGTTGTAGCGGTTTGCGTCACATGACTGACCCGTCGTAGCAGTTCGTGTCACATGACTGACCTGTCGTAGCGGTTTGTGTCACATGACTGACCCGTCGAAGCGGTTCGTGTCACATGACTGACTCGTTGTAGCGGTTCGTGTCACATGACTGACTCGTTGTAGCGGTTTGCGTCACATGACTGACCCGTCGAAGCGGTTCGTGTCACATGACTGACTCGTTGTAGCGGTTTGAGTCACATGACTGACCAGTCGAAGTGGTTCGCGTACCATGACTGACTCGTCGTAGCGGTTCGTGTCACATGACTGACTCGTCGTAGCGGTTCGTGTCACATGACTGACTCGTTGTAGCGGTTTGGGTCACATGACTGACTCGTTGTAGCGGTTTGGGTCACATGACTGACCCGTCGAGGCGGTTCATGTCACATGACTGACTCGCCGTAGCAGTTTGAGTCACAAGACTTACCCATCGAAGTGGTTCGTGTCACATGACTGACTCGCCGAAGTGGTTCGTGTCACATGACTGACTCGCCGAAGTGGTTCGTGTCACATGACTGACTCGTCGAAGGGGTTCATGTCACATGACTGACCCGTCGAAGCGGTTCGCGTCGCATGACTGACCCGTCGAAGTGGTTTGTGTCACATGACTGACCCGTCGAAGTGGTTTGTGTACCATGACTGACCTGTCGTAGCAGTTTGTGTCACATGACTGACCTGTCGTAGCAGTTTGTGTCATATGACTGACCTGTCGTAGCAGTTGAAGTCGTCTAACCAGCATCCCTTCTTCACCAGCTCGATGCTGCCGGAGTTGTTCCTCCAGGAGGCGTAACAGTGCGAGCGTTTGTCCTTCTCTCCCTCACATCTCTCCACACCACTGCGGTTCGTCTTCTCGATCTCCCAGTTAATGTTGAAGTACAAGCATTCGCGCGTCTCCACCTCTCCATGACTGGGTCCTACAAGAGAACGACAGACGGTAAAGATACTGTTTAATGGCAGAAGGAACATCCATCAAGTCAAAAATACTTGTGACATACTCATTTTATATAAGCATATAAGTATTATAACAAAATATATATCAAATACTTTGAAATAAATAATAAATATTATTACAGTAACTAAAATTTGTTATGAATATTATATATTAAATATATACAATGTAAAACATTGTATAAATTATATTGGCATTAATGGGTAATGATGAGATCAATATTTGTATATGAATGAAATGCACAAAAAAAAGCACAAAATCAATGTATAAAATTAAAAAGTAAAGGTAATCTTATCTAAAAGTAAAATGCGATATTTAAAAATGTGTGTTCATTAATTTAATCAACAGCATTAAATCAAAGCAAGAGTCATCTCATTGGTCAATCATACAAATAGCCCCGCCCCAAACTCGCATCATTGGTCGAGTCAGACGTTGACATGTTAATCAAACGAACAGCAATGAGCGTCAGTATGTTACAGTGTTACAGGAAGTCAAACTACCACTGACTTAAATATGAAACATCTGTGACCTTTGACCTGATCTATTATAAACAACCGAATGTTCATGAACAGCATCATGACGGATGTGCTGCTTCCAAGAGCAGATTCACGTGCAGTCTGGGATTGTTTGACAGAAAACACAGGAATATGAGCTGAATAACAGTGGCCTGCACTTTATTTTTATGCAAACACACACACACACACACACACACACGATGCCAGCGCCTGCATTTGGACACGAGCCACAGATACAGGCAGAAACACACCGTTTCTCACTCCGTCAAAACAGCACTTCACACGTCACGGACGCGGGCCAAAAACAGCGGAGAAAATATCACATATGAAACCAGAAACAAGCCGCAAAACCGCAACCGGATGAGAAAGAGTTCAGGAAAACATCAGTTCCGGACGAAACCGTCATCATCACAGACACAAACACTGATCACCGCATGCATCCTTCACCGAGACGGCAATCCCAGACTTCCCAGCGACTCTACAGTGACCAATATCATATTAATCAGCATTTCACAGGTAAAATATCTATAAAAAAGCATTATTTTCAGAAAAAACACGATTAAAACAAATCTGCCAGTTCAAGACAAAGCAGGCGAACGATTTTTTTTTTCTTTTTGGTTGAAAGAAATTAATACTTTTTTTCTGCATGGATGCATTAAATAGATCAAGTGAAAGTAAAGACATTTATAATGTTACAATAGATATTTTTTTTTAAAATAAATGCTGTTCTTTTAAAGAATCCTGAAAAATTAAATTGATCAGTTTCCACAAAAATATTAACAGTTTATTGATATTTGATAATAATCATAAATGTTTCTTGAGCATCAGATCCTCATATTAGAGTGATTTCTGAAGGATCATGTGACACTGAAGGAGTAATGATGCTGAAAATCACAGGAATAAATTACACTTTACTGTATATTCACATAGAAAACAGATGATTTACATTGGAATAATATTTCACATTTTTTCACAGTATTTTTGATTAAAAAAATGCAGCCGAAGTATTCCAAACTTTTGAACATTAATGCATGTTCATGATACATTGAGTCTTAATATATTAATATGCAGTGTTGCCGAAGTAAATTATCTTTTTTTTTCTTCTGGTTAACAAGTAAAAATGAAAGTGAAAGAAACGCATCCGAGATGCTGAAGCCTAATTCAATACTGACAAATACTATCTTTTTAAGAAATTATACGTTAGTCACTTATGCAAATCAGTTGTGTATTGTAAATCAGTCACTTTTGTGGTTCCATTTCATTCAGGAATCTGCAGTGTTAGAACGAAATGTGTGTGTGTGTGTGTGTGTGTGTGTGTGTGGACAGCAGACAGAACCTATTCCTGCAAACACGGGGAACAAATGATGCCACAAAAGCTCTTTGTGAATACAGTAATGCATAAAGCTGAAGGTTCAGGAGCTTCAGCCACACACACACACACACACAGACACATGCAGATGACCGCCAGTGAGCAGAACGTCAACGTTGCATCACACACACACACACACACACACACACACACGAACAACGAGAGTTTATCACAGAGCAAAGCTCAAGGGTAGATGAGAGGACAGTGTGTTTGAGGTCAGCGACCTTTGAACTCAGAGTCTCAGACCATACTGAAATGAGGTTATGAAAAATTATGAAAAATTCATGAGGATTGACATTATTTTCATGATAAATAAGCAAATTTTATTACCATAATATGCCAAATATTAATAACAATTCATATATATATGATAGATAGAATTTATATATATATATATATATATATATATATATATACTGTATATATATATATATATAATAAGTGTATATATATATCTACGTATATATATATATATATATATACACTTATTTATATATATATATATATATATATATATATAGATATATATACACTTATTTATATACTGTATATATATATATATATATATATATATATATGTGTGTGTATATATATATACTGTATATATATATATATATATATATATATATAAATAAGTGTATATATATATCTATATATATATATATATATATATAAGTGTGTATATATATATATATATATCTATATATATTTACATTTAATTGTACTCATTTATGAGCACTTATTTGCTTGATTTATTACCTTTATCCAGCTACAAATGAAAAAAAAAAAAAAACACCCTTATATTTACATATTTTTAAGCCAAAGCGATAACGCCCGACAAGGACGTGACGTCCTTGAGAAGAAGTCCATCACAGGCCGGTCAGGGTCACGAGTCGAGCACCGAGTCTGATCTCAGATCTGCTGTTTACTATACAACACGAGTTTGGCAACATCATCCGCGACAGATGTTCTGGCCAATCTGTGCATTGCGGTTGCTAAGCAACGGCGACTGTGGGAGTAGCGCCTTTCCTCGTCCCCGTAGACAAAACCCTTACACACACACATATATGGCACACACACGGCAGACAGTGCTGGAGAAACGAGGGCACACGATGCCAGCATCCCGCGTGTGTGTTAAACTCCTAAAGCGCACTCATCAGCATTCGCAGGCTGCCATGGGGACATTACACCTAATGGACGACAGCAGATGTCAGAGACACAAAGGAAAGTACGCACTAAAACACGACTTCAGGAAGAGAGCCTTTGAGACGCATGCTAGCACATTAACATTATGTAGGCAGTATAATTTTAGTGTAACTGGTTCTTTTTTTCGCTCTGGTTTTATGAACATCAGCTGGCACGGACTCACTGGGAAACACTGAGGGCGTTCGGATGAGCCAAATGTTCCCGCTCTTATGTAGAAGATTCATTAGTGCACATTTAATCTGAAAAATTAAGCCTACCCAAAAGTGCGAAAAACTGCAATACATCGAAAATCCTCTAGGGGCCGGTCCCAAAAGGGAGCAAATGTCCATAAACCCCATGTTAAAATGTCCGTTTTCACAGCATAAATTCATATTTTTACAGGTTGGTCCCATGGACTTTTATTGTATTTTTAGATAGGTTCAGCGTGCCCGACAACTGTGAGGGTGGTGATTTGTTTTCTAACTCGTTAGTTTAGATCGTATTTAGATATAAAATGTATGACAAATAAGGGCTTAACTGGTTAACTTTGATTGACAGCTGATAACGCTGAGTGCAATTCCTGAAATTTTGACGTATCGGCCATGATCTGACACATCACACCACCTCTGTATCCTTTCTAAATATTTGTATTGAAATATCGCATATAAAATGGGTTGCTCTGCGAAAAAACGCACTAACCAACACTGTATGAGTAACGTTACTTTTAACTACTATTTCACGTAGTTAGCACTATATGTTTGTGGGCAGTGCACTGCAACCGTTAGCATTAAATCGCCTCAGATAAGTTAGCGTCGAGGTACTTTACCTATGGTTATTATAACTGACGTTTTAAACGTAACAAAAGAATAGACGGATATCTCCCACACTTCAGCAGCGTTGCAGTGAATGTAAGCCATAGACTTAAGTTTAATTCCCAGATTTCAAATACTGTTAAGAAAATAAAATACAATTTATCTAATTTTCGTTATATCAGGAATTCAAAGTCTACCCAAGCTGCCAAAATGTTTATGCACTCTATGATTTTTTCACATATGAATTATTGTCTCACTACGTGGTCTCAGGCCAACCACTCCGCCTTGCTACCAATACAATCTCTGTATAAACAAACGCTAAAATGTTTTGATAAGAAACCACATCATTTTCATCATTGTAAAATTCTATCAAAATATAATTTGTTGAGTTGGGAAAACTTTGTTAAGTTTTCAAATGGCTGTTTAGTTTATAAAATTCTAAATGGCCTGGCCCCACCACCTCTTAGTGAGTTTGTGAGTTTAAGGTCGGATAATAGTCGTCTCACTAGAGGTTCCCTTAGAAGGGACTGTGTTATTAATTTTAGGAAAACTGCTTTTAGTCAATCTGCCTTCTCTATTAAAGCCTCAAAAGAATGGAATGACATCCCAACATCTGTTAGAGAATTAAATAGTTATAATGAATTTCGTTCTTCTTTTAAAATGTGGCTTTTTAGCATGCAAATATGTCTACATTGATTTTTTTTATTCTATTGTTTTTTGGTTTTTTTTTGTTTTTTTGTTTTGTTTTTTGGGGTTTTTTTTTTTAGTTGTTTGTTATGTTTTAATTATAATTGTTGTATGTACATTGTATTTTTAGGTTGCCTATTGTACATCTGGCCCAGGACTGCAGATGAAAACTAGCCTTTTGGCTAACTCTGGCATATTTTGACTTGTCATGTTAATATGCACTGTCCTTGTAATAAATAAACAAACGTCAAACGTCTAAAAGTCGCCTAGTCTGTAAGTCGATCTTGTAAAGGCCTGTTCACACCGGCACACGATATTCGCTGACGTTTAACGCCTTGTGACTAAATAAAGGGCGACAATGTGAGTTTGCAAACCGTCGCAAAAAACGGCACATGTA